ACTGCAATGGCAATTTGTTCAAACATCACATCGGCAAGCCGATGTAGCAAGGAAGCTGCAGCACGAGAGTAGCCCCCATGGGACTCCAAGACGATGGGCCTGTACTGAATTCCTACTTGCAGGCATAATTGTTCAGTGCAATCAAAAGAGCGGTCGGCCATTCTGTGCAGTGGAAGGCTGATACTGTGCAGTGCCATCAGAAGGCCACCTCCAAGTATTCAAACAGTAGAACTAACATGTCCAGAGCTAGGCGGCAGCTCGACTTCTTTGAGTCACTGCGTAAGCATGTCCTTTGACACAATCATCTGCGTTTGCTGAGCAATGCAGAGTTCCTCGCGAGCATGATGTGACATGAAATGAAGATACTGACAAGCTTGCGAAAGACAGTTCACAGGGTGAAAAGTCCAGTGCGGGCCTCATCTGTGGGGATCACCCAGATCTGCGTTGAGAGGCGCGCAGAGTCCAAGCGAGTGTTCTCCTTGGTTCGCCGTTCCGACTTTCCAAATCATCGTTACCCCTTTCTGGGTCAGCACAGGCCGGCAGGCCGAGACAAGAACCACCTGTTTCACGTAAGGCCAATCTACTTGTACTGACCGCCATTTAGGCTTAAGCGTGCTGTAGGACTTTCAGGACGTAGCGAGGGCACGCATGCGAGTCCATCCTCTTCGGCACGGTCCTCCTCTGTACCGACAATGACAATTATATTCTGTAGATGATACTGCTGGCATGTGGACTGTGCCGAACCAGCCCAGAACTGCTGCATCGACCTACAACGGGGCAACCGGGATGGAGACTTTGCATGCAGAGAAGTCGCAGAGAAGCGGCCGCCCTTCGCTTGGTTCGCCTCCTCCAAAGGAAAGTATCTCTTTTAGCGAGGTGATACCATGCAGCTATTCGCTTCGAACATACATACGGGTGCAACATGGGGTGGGTCCTCGACGAGTTCAAGGCCCAGGCGATCCAAGCCCTGGCAGACCAGTGTCCTGGCATGGGCCCCTCGATGCACTTTGAGAGCGATATGAAGCTGTCTCCCGCTCCTTAACAGGTGGGACTTCTCCCCGAGACCTCCTGTGAACACCAGCGCGTCAACCTGCCAAGTGCTCGCGGCATCTCAAGGAGGAGCAGCACCGCCAGAAGGCATTACCAGGCAGCCTGCCCATCAAGCGCGACCATGAAGGCACCCAAGTATTTGCGCATCCGGTAGACCTGGACCTGGCAAGGCTTTATCGGTTCAATGCCACGATGAGAGAGACTCCCGGGGCCTGGCCTCCTTCGCCAGCGTGCCGCGTGGCTTCTGCTCAAAGTATTCACGTTCAACGTCCCGGTCGTCAGACAGGCCACAGAGCCCGAGCAACCCTGATTCCTTGCACAGGGCTCTATGAAAGACACCAACATTGACACGGCCCGAGCTGAAAAAGAGTCTTTGTGCGCATCAGATGCCTTGTTCATTAGGTTGTTGACTTCCTTCACAGAGTATCCCAGCTGCTCAATGAGATGGGAAGGCACAGCCGGATCAATGTCGCCACACCGTGTGCCCATGACGAGGCCCTCTAAAGGAGTCATTCCCATGGTGGTGTCAACGCATCTGCCCTGCTTGATTGCTGCCATCGATGCGCCGTTGCCCACATGGCAGGCAATAATGTTCAGCTTGTCTAAAGGCTTCTTCAGCACTCGGGATGTCTCCTCCGCCACGTAAAGGTAGGAAGTGCCATGAAATCCATACTTCCGGATGTGGTGCTTCTTATAAAGGTCATAAGGGAGAGCATACATATATGCACGAGGTGGCATTGTCTGATGGAAGGCTGTATCAAAAACAGCTACTTGTGGGCAGTCTCTGCCGAACAGCTCTTCGGCAACCTCAATGCCCAAGATGTTCCAGGGGTTGTGCAAAGGGGCGAGGACAGTGGCATCGCGAACTGCCTGCATAACTCTTTGGTTTATCACGGCAGCAGATTTAAAACTCTCACCGCCGTGAACGACTCGATGACCCACCGAGCTGATGTTATCTTTGCCAGGCAACAAATCCACCACGCGGCTCAAAGCCGTCCGGTGATCCGGGAGATCCACCTTGTGGACTTTTTTGCCTTCATGCGTCTCCTCCTTGATTCGACACTCGGTCTTTGTGGCAATGCCCTCTGCTAGCCCATGCACCACCCGACTCCAACGGGCAGGAGCTCCGGCAATGCTAAAAAGAGCATACTTCAAAGAACTGCTCCCGGCATTCAACACAAGAAGTAACTCCTTCGAGGCGGCCATCAAAAGAGAACCAAGGAATAGACGAGCTCAGCTGAAGTGGCTGCCGGGATTTCCGATTCAAACCAGCTTCAGGTTCAAATGATCTCAAGCTTCACTGACTACGCTCCTGAAAAGCCCCAACTTGGCCTCAAAGCTGGTACGTGGCCCCAAAATGAAATTAAATTGGGAGCTGGGAGCAGCTAGAACCCACCCAGATGTGCTGAATCGGACTCAGTCCATCCTACGGCTTGGGCCCCTGCTGCAAACTCCATGTCAGGTTCCGCACAAAAAAGACCTCAAGAAATCATGTCGAAAACTCTTACGTTTCCATGATCAAATCGGATCTGAGCTTGTGGCTGCGGACGAGGACGCCGGCGAGTGAACTGCGCCTCAGAGGTTTTGGACAAACTCTGGCTTGAGGTAGCGATGCTGCCGGCATCGCTTCCCCATCTCCCACTTCGACTTTCGCGGCTCATGAACTGCATCATCCAGGTTCCAGTCCGTTCGCTGCATTTTCTGCTGCAGCTGCTTGGCGTGCTGGTGATAATATAGCGGTTTGAACGGAACTGTGCAGAGGACTGGCACGGATAGAGATGCATCTGAGAGATGCATCTGTGCTTTGGCAAAGAGTGCGGCCAAAGATGCTCTACAGCACCTTGAAACGACTCCTCTCAAGTCTCTCGTGGCTTAGCTCGGTCGCGGGCAACGTGTCGCCCACGGCGGTGTCTCCAGCTTCAAGCTTCACAGCCTGAACGCTGGAGTCCTGGAAGCTAAGGTGCACATTTCGTGTCCCAGCTTGGCCAAGCGGGGATGCGATCAACCCTCGTATTACACTTGTGCTCTACTTGTGAACGTTGAAAACTCAGCTTCAACTGGCTCCAACATGGCGAAATGCCCGGTACCCACATCCAGTCACCTTGTCAAGCTGGAAGAGTGTGCCCAAGTAGCGATTGTTGTCGTACGGCCCGCCAAACAACCTGAAGTGATTCAGTTCGGTCTCTGTAAAACCGCAGTCAACGAACGCCGACAAAGGCTCATCAGATTTTTTAACTGTGGAGTTTCATGACAAAAGTTACCCCAAAGGCTAAGGTTTCGGCTGCCCAGGCCGAACCACTGTAACACCGAAGCCCCGCTGTGTGGCCTCGCTTCAGTCTGTAGCACCCACAGCCATGCAGGACGGAGGACGGCATATGCGCTGGAAATGCGAGTACGAAAGCAGGTTGTCCTGATGGCCTTCGTGCGCGGGTGAAACTCAAGGCGTCGCGGGGATTATATCCAAATTCAGATTACTTCTCCCGTGGGGGTGCAGTTTCGGAAGATGCGACAGCAGCCGACAGTGGTCAGTGAGGCCAGGAGGAGCCACAAATGCGCATAACCCAAGCTGTTCGCCAACCTGACTTTCGCCAGGTGTTTCGTGCCGTGGAGTTCCCCCTAGGTAAGGGGCAGGGGAAACGGATCGAAATTTTTCTTGGGATGAAAACAAACTTTTGGCAAAGATCAAAAAACTTTTCCATCGATCAAAAAACCTTGGTTCCGATCAAAAAAACCTTCTGTAGATGTTTACAAAAAAAAACTCATGAGAATCCGGGGATTTCGTCCCCATCAAAAAAAACTTTCCGTGGTAGTAGTAGTAGTAGTAGTAGTAGTAGTAGTAATAGTAGTAGTAATAGTAGTAGTAGTAGTAGTAGTAGTAGTAGCAGCAGCAGCGGTAGCAGTAGCAGTAGCACTAGCAGTAGCAGTAGCAGTAG